GAGCGGCTGGGCCCATGAGCCATGGCCACTGAGCCTGCGCGTCCGGAGCCTGTGCTCTGCAACGGAAGAGGCCACAGCAGTGAGAGGCCCGCGTACCGCAAAAAAAAAGAAAAAAGTCCTGAAAAATGTGCCATTAAACAATTAAGGATGAATTCATGTACAAAGGAAGAAAGTGCAATTAAGAAATGGTACTGATACCTGTGATGATTTCTTCCTGTGACTCAGTATAGTAAGTCATTAATGTGATATAAATAAAGGTGTAAATAAGTGTTTTTAGGAATAAGTTTTGTTCTGACTTTTCATAAGATTTACTTAGTGAAAATGTTGAATTTTAAAAATTAATATTAATTGCAATAGTTTTATTTAAGACTTTCCAAACTTCTTTGAAGTCCCATTGCTGGTGGAAGAGTTTGAAGCTATACCCCTTGAAGTTTTCAGGAAAATAGGGGAGAAGTGCCCAAAGAAAGCATAAGAATTTACATTTTTCTGAAAAATTTATGCTTTCTGCCATCCGCTGCTACCATGGCGCCCGTGATAAAGCTTGTGGCGAAGAGGGGCAAAAAAAAAGAAGCAGGTCCTGAAGTTTACTCTTGACTGTACCCATCCTGTAGAAGATGGAATCATGGATGCCACCAATCTTGAACAGTTTTTTCAGGAGAGAATCAAAGTGAATGGAAAAGCTGGGAATCTTGGTGGAGGTATTGTAACAGTTGAAAAAAGCAAAGCAAGATTACTGTAACTTCTGAGGTGCCTTTTTCCAAAAGGTATTTGAAATATATCACCAAAAATATATTTGAAGAAGAATAATCTATGTGACTGGTTAGGCGTAGTTACTAACAGCAAAGAGTTACGAATTGCGTTACTTCTAGATTAATCAAGATGAAGAAGAGGAGGAAGATGAGGATTAAAACTCAGTTATGTGTAATATTTTGTATGAGTTCTTGAATAAAACTTAGGAACCAAAAAAAAAAAAGTTTACGTGGGTTTTTCTTTTGATTTAATAATTGGCCCATGTTTATTCTCTCCCTTCCAGTAAGTCTTTGGTTAAAATAGTTAATCCAGAAAGAATCCGGACTAATTCATCCATGTACTTTTGAGAATTTTCTTGGCAGTACCATACAATCTACATTATTGTGCCATAGTCCATCCATGCTAACATTCTCATATGTTTATATTTTAAAGAAATAGAGAAACAAATGTCTTAAGTGTTGACCACTTGAAAATATTAGAGTAGCATGTATACCTGATTAAAAGGAGCTTGCCTGTTTAGAATCATAGATTGGTGAAATTTGATAGGACTTTGAAATGACTTTAATCCTTCAGAAAAAGAAATTAAAACCCAGAAAAATAAAATGACTTAGCCAAGTTCACAAGGCTGACCCAGACATCTGTACTGTTCAGTACTCTTTCTGTATGTCCATACTTGCACAGTATAGATTTTGCTCTCAATAAGTTTATGGCACACATCGCTACATTTCCAAAAATACAATTTTCATCATTATCTATATGTTGTGTGAACCTTTAAAATAATTGCTTCCTGTCAAATTCACTAACATTTTTTGGTGAATTTCAGATGGTATGAAAAATTATAAAGTTAATCTTGTTTGTATTATCAACATGGTGGCTTGAGAAGTCACAGAATCCCTTTCTGTTCATGGCCATTACTAAAACCATGGGCTCTGGAATCTGAGAACCCTGCATGCGTTAGAATCTAACTCACAGTAATCCTTGAGACCCTGAATTACTTACTATTTAATGCCTTAGTTTCATACTCTGTAAATGGGTATTGTTACAGTTAACTACTCCATTGTTTTTTGTTGTGTTGATAGTTGTTGATGATGCTGGTGATCATAAAAAGGGTGATCCATAAAAAGCAGTTTGGACAGTATCTGAACATTGTAATTGCTATGTAAATGTTAGCTACTACAATATTTACTTTTTATTTTTTTCTTCATATTTGTTTTATATGGATATATATATATATATGTGTATATATATATATCCATATCCAGTTGGAAACACAGGATTTAAATAAAGGAAGGTTCATAAACGTCTGTCTTTGTGAGAAACACTAATGAACCCCAGTGGTACCTAGAAAATAATTAATTGACAGAATTTAAACATTTTTTTCTTTTTTTGAGGATATAACAATTTTATTGATTATTAAGTATTTATCTGTTTCTTAATGCTCACTCTTTGTTTTCACTGCCAAAGGCAATAGATATTACAGAGGAAAACGCATTGTAATTTATATTGTTTTAAACAGATACTAGTTGTTCAACTTGGCAATGTGGTTTGATAGCAGTTATTGGAATTATGTATCATGTACCAATCTAGGCATTAGAATTATAACTAACTATCATCAGAGTCTAGCAGGGAAGATATATATTAAAAATGAATAGCCACAGTACCATGTGGTAATAACAAGCAATTTTTAAATTTTATACATAAGTATAAAGTTCAGTGGAAACAGGTGAGAGAGCAAGAATTTAGTAAAGAGAACACATGATTTAAGGCAATAATATTATAGCATTAAATAAAGCAACATTCACCATTAAGAACTCATTCAGTTCTATGCAATGAAAGTATAAGTACCATGATCTGTTCTTCAGAAAATTCTGTATTGGAAATCTACTACATTAGTAAAGTGTGCTGATCTTTCTATTTTTTTTCTTTTCTTTTTCCATACTTTACCTTTTTGGATGACTAATATTAAGGCTTTAAAAATCCTTTCTCTGAATTATCAAAACAGCAAGACTTCTGCAATTTCTCAAATATCTTTCAAAAGCAGAGGAAAATTCATTTAGAACCATAACTATAATCCTGCAAACTGTCAACAACAAAAATTAAGGAGCTCAAGTTAAAAACCACAGTGCTTCAGAATCAATTCTATATTTTTGACAAATACTACAACTTGTGAATTTTGGCTCCAAGTCAGTCTTATAGTAACATTTTCTCATATTTGTAATTCTCTAATAATATGATTTACAAGGTATTATAATTGCAAATCATCTCTGGCTTTAAAATATGCAGTGCTCCAAAATTTTATATGATGGCACTTGTTTGAATTTTCACACAGCTTTTTGCCACAGAAATGTGTCTGCTTCTGAAACCCTAAAACATATTTTCATTTAAAACAACTATAATACTAGTTTAAGCTGAATTATTTGTATAAGCAGTACAGTATCAGCAAATGGAAGAAAGCAATAACATATGTAAAAGTTTATTTATGAACTTGGGAAAAGGTTGAAAGGTTGGCCCCTTTACTGTTTTTCATGATATTGCCCAGCTCCGTTTCTGTATTCCTTCTTCATTGATAGTGCGCTTCTCTTTTTGTAATCTCGTAAGACCATAAATCTTCTTAGTGAAAACCTACCAAAGTTGGCGTTTGCCTCAATCCCCTGAAGATTTCTGTGCTCTAAGCTGTGTCTTTTTCTTCTCTCTCTATCCCAATTACATTTTTAGTTTTCTCAGTAGAACTGAGACCTCAGCCAAGTTTGAGAATTGCTGATTTTCTAAATCATACCAAGGTACAACCCACTAACTAATCCTTTCGCAGGATTGTTTGCATTTTAGAAAGAAGATGCATGTTTATCCAGGAGTCTGTTTATTTTATTGTATTAGTGAGAGACATTGTGCAACAGTTAAAGAGAACAGGTTTTAGCATTGGATTGACCTGGACAGAACGTAGCTCTTCAACTCAGAAGCTTGTGTCTTGGAACAGTTTACTTCTGAATGTCATTTTTTTTTTTTTTCCAGTAAAAAGGGATATAAGGGATGACTCGTGTGATGCAGAGTAATTAAAAGGATAGAGATACGAAAAAATACTGAAATTAATGCTAGTCTTTTATAAAAGAAACGCTATAGATGGCAACAAGTTAGAGAACTGAAATAAAAAATTGGGTCAGTGTAGAAGTTTTTGATATGGTAGGTAACCCATAGGTAGCACAGCAGCACACAGAGATGTGCTTCTCCCACACATAGTTGTTGTTGGCTGTTCTTGGCATTCTCTGCTTTTACCTTTGTTCTATGCTCTGTTACTACTTTAGAGGACCCCTGCTTGAGAACCGTGATTAAAACCTAAAATTCTAATTTCCTATTCTGTTTGGAATCTTTTTTTATAGCACTCATGAACATTGGTTATCTACATGCCGCCTAATGCACCATACTTAAGTTCATATGGCACTTTCTATTAAGTGCTTTTCTGTACATTATCTCATTTTAGAGTCACACAGGTAGGAAAAAATAATAACATCATAGATGTTTCATCTCCATTTTGTAAATGACAAAACTGAATCTCAGAAATTTTGCCCCTTTTGGGGGTTTCAGCTTTTTGGACTGGATTGGAGCAGTGCTGGCTCCTTTGAATGCCCATCTGCTGAATCCTTTCATTTATGTCAGTTTTCAGTAAAGAGTCTACAAATTGAAATAAGTTATTGTGCCATAAGTATGATACTGTCATAGTGTCTTAGTTATTTTGGGAGACGCTAAGACAAATGTATTTTTAAGATAATTCTATTAACAGCAATTAATATGTCTACATTAAATGGGTAAGGCCAGTGTCCTGTATAGCAGAGCTTTGATTTCATTCGTAAATGAAAACCGATCTTTTTTTAATTGTTGCATTCTGTATTTGTATATCTTGTCACTCTTTATAAATCCATTGATCAAATGCGTCATTTTTCTTTGGGTTTACTCAAAAAGGGCCACTTAATTTCTGATTGTGACTAGGTTATACAGAAAATATTTTATTAAAGTAATTTAAAATTGTCTTATAAAGATGAATAATCCAGCTAAAGATATATATTAAAAATTTAATAATACATTAGTGATTCATAGTAAAGATCCAGAGAATTATTGAATAAATGTATGAATGATGGCTTGAAAAACATACTTTGTATGACATCTCTTGGATATAGACATGACTCATATTACTTGAAAATGCCTTATTAAAATAATATACTTCATAAATGAGTTAATTTTTTTTTTTCTTTTTTAAGGTTTCAGCAGAGCAGCTTTACCATTTGGGTTAGTTCGTAGAGAATTATCCTGTGAAGGTTATTCTATAGATCTACGATGTCCCGGCAGTGATGTCATCATGATTGAGAGCGCTAACTATGGTCGGACAGACGACAAGATTTGTGATGCTGACCCATTTCAGATGGAGAATACAGACTGCTACCTCCCAGATGCCTTCAAAATTATGACTCAAAGGTAAATGTTCACGTGTTATTATCCCATTTTAGTTACTACATCCAAATTCGTAAAAGTATTATCATAACTCCAGACTGGATAGATACAGTGCATATCTCAGCCTATTCATTAAAGTGAGTTAGGGTTTTACCTACTAATGTTGACTTCTACTTTATAATATTTCAACAACACTTAAATCTCTATATCATTTTTATATAGATTGACATATCAGAAGGAATACGTATTACAGGTTTTTTTATACATCATAGAATAAAAGTAATTGAAATGTAATCTTGAAATGTAATATAGATTGACATATCAGAAGGAATACGTATTACAGGTTTTTTTATACATCATAGAATAAAAGTAATTGAAATGTAATCTTGTTTAAGCCTTCAAAATTTTGAAATATTTTATAATTCAAGAATGTTTTAAATGTCTGGGTCTTTGGCAATAATTGTTCCGTAATTTTTTTAAATTAGTAAACTTTATTTTTTCAGCAAAAATGAGCAGAATGTACACAGAATTATCATACTCTATCTCCACACGTGTAAGACTTCCCTAACCATTGACATCCTGACATCCCCTACCATGGTGGTACGTTCGTTATAGTAGATGACCTCACATTGACACATTATTATCCCCTGAAGTTCTCAGTTTGCGTTAGGGTTTACTCTTGTTGTTGTACATTCTGTGGGTTTTGGCAGATTTATAATGACACTTATTCACCATTGTAATATCATACAGAAGAGTTTCACTGACCTAAAAATCCTTTGTGTTCCACCTACTCATTCCTCCCTCCATCTAACCCCTGGCAACCACTGATCTTTTTATTTTCTTACAGTTTTGCCTCTTCTGGAATGTCACACAGTTGTAATCCTACAGAATGTAACCTTTTCAGATTGCTTTCTTTCACTTAGTAAATGTCTTTTCATGGCTTAATAGCTCATTTCTTTTTAGTGTTAAATAATATTCCATAGTCTGGATGTACCACAGTTTATCCATTCACCTACTGAAGGATTTCTTGATTGCTTCCAAATTTTGGCAATTATGAATAAAGCTGCTGTGAACATCTGTTCAGGTTTTTGTGTGAACATAAGTTTTCAGTTCATTTGGGCAACTACCAAGGAGCGTGATTTGTTGGATCATATGGTAAGAGTGTGTTTAGTTTTGTAAGAAACTGCCAAACTGTCTTCCAAAGTGACTGTACCATTTTGCATTCCCACTGGCAATGAATGAGAGTTACTGTTGCTCCACACCTTACCAGCATTTAGTATTGTCAGTGTTTTACATTTTGGGTAGTCTAATAGGTGTATAGTGATATCTCATTGTTTTAATTTACAATTCCCCAATGACATATCATGTTGAACACCTCATAATATACTTACTTGCCATTTCTGTATCTTTATTGATGAGGTGTCTGTTCTGGTCTTTTGCCCCCTTTTGTAATTGGGTTGTTTTCTTATTGTTTAGCTTTAAGAGTTTTTTATTTTTATTTTTTTTACCACGCTGCATGGCTTGCAGGATCCCAGTTCCCTGACCAGGGATCGAACCTGTGCTCCCTGCAGTGGAAGCGCGTAATCCCAACCACCGGACTGCCAGGGAATTTCCTTTAAGAGTTTTTTAAAATATATTTTGGATAACAGTCCTTTATCAGATATGTCTTTTGCAAATATTTCCTCTCAATCTGTGGCTTGTCTTCTATTGATCTTCAGTTTTAGAAAAACAAACAAAATAAAAACAACAGATTAAGAAAGTTAAAACATATAGCGCTCATTCTTGTTTTCTTCATATATAGATAATAGGAAGGAAGGGAGGAAGTGGGGTGAAGGAAGGAAGGAAGGAAGGAAGATAGAAAGTTATTTGGATAATATACCAATTTTGGTTAATTTTGTGTTTTAAAAATGTGTTGGAAAGTGTGTTATAAACTATAAAATATGTGAACGATATCTCCTAACTGGACAGTTGTGTTTCTACAAGTAAATAGAATACAAAAAACTGCTGACAATGGGTATGGACTTTCCTCTGCATTAACACAGAGCACCTAATTCTTGGCATCTTTTTTTTTTTTTTATCGTAAATTTTGGTACTCTTGGCACCTTAATTAGAGTTTTCTTATATGTAAGGTATTAAAATTGTGTTCGTTATGATTGAAAGTAATATCCAGCAATCCCAGTTATTTGGAACATAGAGACTCTCTGAAGGAACACAAGTTTCACAGAGTTATACAATGTTGATTTTGTATTTTGTTTATTGGGAAAACCCTTTATCTTTCTATTCAAAGCTTACTCCCTCTCCTCTTGCCTCTTTTCCCCCACTGAAAACAGTCCTCTGTCCAGTTTTGTAGCTTGTATGCTAGTCTGCCTTAAAGTAGAGCAGGAAATTTTCTAGACTGAGGTCTGATCAGTGTAGGCACAGTGAAATCATCTAAAGGTGATAAGAGCGATTAAGGAAATAATGGAAAAACTGTTTTTTAAAAATCCAGTCTATAAGAGTATGGGTACAAATTGCTGTAAAATCTCTAATTTCAAACAGAATAGGTATTAGCATATTTTTATTGATAGCAGATTATAGTAAGTTTTTTGTTAATGTTCATACTGATCAAGATACTTTTAATAAACAAGAGGACATATATAATACTTTTGAAAGATTTCCATCAAAATGCTTTTATTTAGTTTTTAAAGGGTAGTTATTAAAAAATTAAGGTAAACTCTTATTTGCACAAATGGCACTGGATAAAGTTTTTTTGTGTTTTTTTGTTTTGTTTTGTATTTTGTTTTTTTTAAAAAAACAAAAGTCCTTTATGGACTATGTAGGATTTGAAATCTTGCTTGTGAAACAAACTACGTAGGATAATATACCTTCTTTAGAAGAATGGATTCTGTGCTCCAATAAAATTGTAATAGAACAATTTGCCCATAGTATTTAAAAAATTGAGAACTGCCTATAGCAGGCAGACAATAAAGGTAATCCCTGATAATTGACCATTTATTCATTCTTAATATGTTGATCCGACTGTTCAGTGGTAGTGATATCACATGAGCATCTAGAACTAAGCCAGAGAGAAATAGGAAGTGAAAAATGATTATGTACAATTACCTGTTTTTATTAGACTGACAGGCAAAAAAGCAGTGGGAGTTAGTACAAAGAGAATTTGAAAAGAGCTGGCCCTGAGGAATTGTGCTTTTTAGGTAACTTACTTTTGTTTGTCGGGTTATACGTTTAAATACATGGTTAAATATCTAGCACAACACATAAGCCTTATCATACTTGTTAATATAAATGTAATTGCATAGTATAGGAAATGTACAAGATAAGATGGCAAGTTATTTTCATTGTTTCATTATGTTATAAAAGCAGGGCTACATTTTTGATAATACATTTTAAAGGAACTAGAGTTTGGGGTATTTAAATTCTGTGAAAGCATACTGTAATTTCCTTGCTATCAAAATCTCTGAACAATTTACTGTGTGTTAGGGAAAATAAGGGGTTAGTTCCAAAACTGCCTGTAGAAACTCCATTTTTATATTGTTGTATTATACTAGTGGCTTATTATTATTTAATCAACACAATGACAATTTAAACATGAACACTTTATTGACAAGGAAGACGATGTTAAGATGACTTAAAAATGAGTTTCATAGTGGTAATTTATAACTACTCCATTCTGTGTATGTCAGATTATGAACACTAAAGGAAGTCCACCATATTTGACTATTACATAGTTTGAAATAGCTCTAAGGAAATTAGATAGACAATATTTTTGCAGCTGAATTATTACAGAATAACTATTGAATGTGTAGAATACTTGTCCCTATTTTTTAAATTTAAAGATACTCTTTCAGTATTTACAAATAAAGTAAGAGTTATTTTCACCAAACTCCTAATAATTTGACAAATTTTTCTATTTATAATCATCAGAAAAATGTATTAATAATGTAGAAAATCAGACTTCTTTTCTTTAATGTAGGAGATTTCTCTTTGGAAAAATTAAATAAAAGCACTAGATATTTTTCTATTAAATTTGAAACTCCCTGTTTTCTACATATAATAATGGATATAGGCACAGAAATTTCAATACCATAAAATATGTTTATATTATAATTCAAGGCTTTTCTACCCCTGCCCCACTGTCATCACTTCATCAGTTGAGAGTCAAGTAAATAAACACACTTGTAATTCTTGACTTGGTGATAGTAAAAGTATCAATAATTGTTATTTATTCTCTATTTTCTATTTCCTGCTCACTTAAAGGTATGAAACCAAGACTCTATTACTAACTGATTCTACTTGTCTTTTAAGTACACTGAATGGCTCATCCTAAAAAGTGATAAATGAAACTCCTTCCTAAAATGATACGTGTTTTAATACTCTATAAAATGATCACCATTAGAGATAATTTTTTTAGCACTCTTTGAAGATAATTGTAGTGGGGTAACTTAAACATGAAACAGTTTCAACACTTTGAATTCATTAAAGCAAAGAAAAAAAAACACCTCTTATTACTACTCTGAAGTATTTGATGAATAAGTAAATTAGAATTTTGCTAACAATACTGTTTCTTTGTAGCATTGGGTACAATCTAGTTAAAGTGATGTGCTAAATTGTACCTGAGATCCTCTTCTGGTATTGCTTATAACTGTCCCTTTGTTCATTTATTCACTCTAAGAACTTGCCAGTTCTCATCAAGGTGGTTTGGTGCCTTAGATTATGCTTCGTAATTGTCCTTAGGTTTTTCTTTTTTTATTAGCACTCCAGCCAAGAGATCTGAAAGTAAGAAAGTATGTAAATGTTTACTGGGTTTTAAAAAAATATTAAATGTAAGGTTAACGGGCGTAGGTAGGTCCAGTTTTTCAGTCTTAACTCATACTATCAGATGTACATCAGTGTACCTCTGTCAGTGCAAAGAGGTTCTAAAAGTAATATGTGCTGCTCTCAAGAAGATGATAAGAATACATGCCTCAGTTTTTTCCCTGCAGTAGGAAAGGTATATTTTGTGTAATTGATTCAAAGATAGGCCC